CCCCCCCCAATTGTCTCTTCTCCAGACTAAATAAGCCCAATTCCATCAGCCTTTTCTCATATAAGTCATGTGCCCTAGCCCTTTAATAATTTTCGCTGCAATCCATTGGACTCTCTCCAATTTGTCCATATCCTTTCTGTAGTGGGGAGCCCAAAACTGGACGTAGTACTTCATATGTGGCCTCACCAGCGCTGAATATAGGGGAATAATCACTTCCCTTGATCTGCTGGAAACACTCCTACCAATGCAGCCAAGTATGCCTTTAGCCTTCTTGGCAACAAGGGCACACTGCTGGCTCTTATTCAGCTTCTTGTTCATGGTAACCCCCAGGACCTTTTCTGCAGAGCTACTGCCCAGCCAGTCAGTCCCCAGCCTGTACTGGTGCATGGGATTGTTTTGTCCTAAGTGCAGGACTTTGCACTTGTCGCTATTGCACGTCATGAGATTTCTTTTGGTCCAGTCCTCCAATTTGTCTAGGTTTCTCTGAATCCTAACCCAACCCTCTGACATATCTACTTTTCTTTTCTGTTTTTCCTCTGTGTCCTCTTTGCAGTGCCATTGGCTCAACTGGGATCATGCTCAGTTGAAAGGCTGCATCCACTTTTGAACTTTAGGAATGGATGTTGTTTAGATAGCTATTGTTGTTCTTTATTTGAATGCTATTTGGGTACACTTTTGCACCAATGGGCTGTATAAGGCAGAAAGCATTTTTTCTAGTCACTTTCATAAGAGTTTATTGCATCCCAAAGGGGATAAGGAATAGGTGGGATCATAGTTCTGCAACCCTGCCATGCCCATGCACTAGCCAGGTATTTACAGTAGCCTTTATGCTTAGAATGGGCAATGTCTCAAATGCTTCCTAGTATCTTTATCTCCTGCAGATGGTTAATGTTCAGTTTTTAATGGCAATCATAGATTTCATAGACATTAGGGCTGGAAGGAGCCTCGGAAGATCATTGAGTCCAGCCTCCTGCCCAAGGGGCAGGAATTCAGCTGGGGTCATAGGATCCCAGCAAGATAAGCATCCAAATATCTCTTGAAGGCGTTCAAAGTAGGTGCTTGAACCAACTCTGGTGGCAGGCTATTCCAGACCTTGGGGGCTCGGACAGTAAAGAAATTCTTTCTTATGCCCAGCCTGAAATGGTCTTGCAGGAGTTTATAACTGTTCGACCTTGTCATCCCTTGGGGCACTCTGGTGAACAATCATTCCCCCCAGATCCTGGTGAACACCCCTGATAAACTTATAGGTGTCCATCAGATTGTCCCTGAGCCTGCACTTTTCCAGGCTAAAGAGTCCCATAGCTCTCAGCCTGTCGTCTTAAGGTCTGTTTTCCTGCCCTCTGATCATGCGCGTGGCTCTTCTCTGGAATCTCTCAAGCTTCTCCACATCCTTTTTGAATTGTGGAGCCCAAAACTGAACACAGTACTCCAGCTGCGGCCTCACCAAGGCTGAGTATAATGGGAGAATGACGTCCTGAGATTTGCTTGAGAAGCATCTATGGATGCAAGCCAGCGTTTTGCTCACTTTACTAGCTGCAGCATTGCATTGAAGGCTCATATTTATCTTGTGGTCAGTCATGACCCCCAAGTCATTTTGCATATGTTTATTGTGTAGCACTAATCATACCACTGCTTGCACTGGCTTCATTTGAATTTGTTTGAAGACTCCTGTTTCATTTAGTTGAAATGAACTAACTTCATTAGAAATCCCATTAGTATGGGGACTCTGTGTCCAAACGGAAATGTTAAATCATAAGAAGGCAATCAGGCTTAAAGTGGGCTGGGGGGTTGGGGGCACCAGTGAAATAAAATAACAGTAGTGTGGTATCTGCTTCTGGCAGATTGGGGTATTTTATCCCCCTAAACACAGGAGGCCCTGAGGAAAGGTCTCTGGTACACTCCAGCCTTTGCTTCTGAGAGAGGGTGAGCAGAGCAGCTCTCTACCCGTGTTGGCCTTTGTTGATGTTGGTTGCCACAGAATGGCCTTTGCACTTGTTCCCAACCTGCTGGTGTACAGGAGAAACAGGCTTTGAGAAGGGCTAAGGGATATGTAGGTATGAAGATCAGTAGTACAAGCTCCAGCCTAAGTGGCATAGAAGGGTACCGGCCTTTGAATATTTTACAGCAGTTGCAAAGAGGCTGCTAATGGATTTAGTGTGGGTGGATTTCATGCTCAGTTTCTTGCATAGAGCAGGTCTTGCACTACACAGGTTTTCAGGCCTAGAGGGGTAATTGTCATTTTTTGAGAATTATAAAGTTATAGTTGATACTTTGTTCTGAAACTCCTTCCCAAATTCTGTGAGTGTAGTTTTGCACTGAAATATTGCTGACCAGTACAAGTGAGTCAGTTGCAAAAGTCAAGCCTGATGTCATTATACACATGCAACTCTCACTGGCATCAGTTGATGATTTGCATGTTGGCAAATGCCAGAACCTGCTATTTGCTAGGCTACGTCCTGCCTTGGCCTGGTAAGAACATTGCAGTCTGTAAACTAGACTAGCCATTTGTGGTTCTTACATTATTAGCACATCTCTTTTAACCCATTTCTACTAAAAATATGTGTCTATCAAAGGCAGTTTTGAAAGATGTTTCATATACAGCCCTTATTAACAACAAACCTATCAACCCTAATGATAACCTCACCCCAGTAGCAATAAGTAAGAACAACAATAATACTATAACATTGTTTCTCCCATACTTAACTTCTTCCTGCTCCATGTTTCCTTAAAAGCTTTGGGAAGTGAGGCGAGATGGATGGGCCATTTAGAGTTCTCTAAAAGTCAGCAGTTCTGGGCTGGCAAGAAAGGCAGAAATTCCCTCTCATTTTGCATATAGTACTCAAATTGGAGTTCACTTCTCAGGCAGCATTGAATGGCTTCTGCCACAGAATATTTCAGACTATTAGTAGTACGCATGCTGCCTGTATCTGGTATTTCTCATGGTCTTGGAACAGACATTGCATACGTCCTTGTTAAATTGTGCCTGTGTTTGTCCCAGAACAAAAATATCCCAGGACTGGCATGTATGCACATTGCCTTTCTAGTCAGGGCTCAGTGAAGGCTAAAGGCACTGCTGTTTTTCTGCCATTGATTTAATAATGCCTATACAGGGTAACTGTACAAGGCATATTTTGCCCCATAGCACAGAGTTACTACCTCTTATCTGGGAAATGGGGAACCTTTTTTAGGATTTATCTTGAAACAGTGGGCATGAACATCTGTACACTTGTACTATGTCCCAATATAAAAAGGTTTATCCTGGTATATATGTGATATTTGTTTGCAGCCATAGTGACTGTTATTACTAACAGGTCTTGATTCTGACAGAGGTGGGCATGAACCAACTATAAATGATTTCAACATTGTGTTTTATTCTTTTTGTATGCTTAAATCAGATTTACCAAACCAATGTTCTCCTGACCCTTGTCATAAAGAGGGGACTATACAATGTGAAGATCTAAAGGGTGACTTCTATTGCACATGCAAAGATGGTTGGCAGGGTCGAAAATGTGAAAAAGGTAATTATATCTGGTTTATTTTGTTACTGACTTCTGATGGCTAGGTTGTAACGGAGAGTATGTTGTGCACAGTATTTTAATATCTTTCAAAGAATTGCTGCTATTTAGTGCTCTTCTGAATAGTCGCCTTAATACAAAATACAGCCATCTCCATTGTCACACAGTCTACAACTGCCATAACACTGATTCTGGATTTATAAATCGTTCATATTCCCCACCACCACCCTCAAACTGCTTTCTGTTCTCTCTAAATTAGGCGTTTAATATCTCTGAATCATTATGAATATATATACATTTACATAAAAAAAAAATGTAGTTATTCTGGCCCCGGGTACCTTTATTCTTTTGGAGTCTGATCCCAGTCTTGTTTGGTGTTTGTAATCCTGTGGGACTACTTAAACTAGAACTATTTACTTGCATACAAAGTTGCTGGCCCTGTACATGAAAAACCACCTGCAAAGATTTCCTGCATCCTTTATGCTGGCTTTTTGGTTGTAGCTGTTTTGGTCTAAGGACATAGGCAGGCAAAGAACTTTGCCTGTCTGCATCCTTTATGAAACTCAAAGTTTCCCCCTTGTCACATTGCTGGCTGCCAAAATTCAATTAAAGTAATGTCTGAGAGGCCGAGATCATACTCTGCCAGTACAAAATCATGCTGACTGAGAGAACAGGAAATCTAGCTAAAGACCTGAACCTGACTTGCCTGTAGATTTGGTATGAGAATTTTATGTAGAGGGGCAGTTACTTGCAAATTTGTTATTTGAACAGTGAAATTTTAGATAGGCTCACCAGTTAATGGGAGCATAATCTTCACATTTCTACAAATATTTCTCAATCGATTCTAGTGTCCAAAAACAGGTATAGAATACAGCAATTGGGTTGGACAGGCAGGATGAAATGCTAGCTCCATTGAAGGCCATAGCAAAACCCATCAAACTCAATGGAGTGACAGTGACACGTAGAGTTTAAGTATATGAGCATCTGTTGCACTTGTTTTTTGATAGCAATACAACAGTAGTGTGGGGGGCGGGGGGGCGTTGATGTTTTAGAATCTCTCTTCCACAGTGTTGAGATCATGCTGGCACTTTGTTTTGGTTACAGTGCTCTCCCTTCCCAAAACAGGCACAGGATGCCGTACCAACATCAGGTTTGCTCCCGCAAACACTGACACATCTGAGTAGCTTTACTCATGGGGATAACCCTGCGGGTGGGGTTGTTGTGCAGCTGACCTTGCTTGCTAAGGAAGACACTCGGTGTAAACAGAATGAAATATCTGTGTTTTTTGAATCCTAGCAATGTAAATATGAAGCTGTTCCCAAACATGAAAAGTATTCTTCTGTCTCTCTGGTATTACTTTCCGCTTTCCTACTTCCAATTTCTGCTGTCACTCATATAATATCAGTAATACTTCGTTTGTCTCTAGATGTTAATGAATGTGATGTGCAGCATGGGGGCTGTAACCAAGCCTGCCTCAACAAGCCCGGCAGCTACCGTTGTTCATGCTACAATGGCTATGGTCTTCTTAAAGATGGTAAAACATGCGAAGGTAAGAGAAATTAGGCAGTTAATATCAAACATTTAGCCAAAACATTTAAGGGCTGTGATTAGCAGTCTTGGGTTAAGTGTTATAGTTTTTCAGTTGCACCAAATGTTGCATTCTAATTGCTAGTCCAAAAGAAACTGCTAGTCATAGTTTTCTTTGCACATGACTGCAGCTCTTTAGGATTTTATTTGGTAGTACAAGCCAGGAGTACATGCCTAGGCATGCCGCTAGTCACACCAGACTACTTTCCAACATCATAACATAGGAGTGATTCACAGAGGATTTGTGGGATGAATTATGCTAAATTGGTCCTGCTGATCAGCCCTCACATCCTGACACGGAGGAGGAGGAGGAAGGATTGGAAAGAAGAATTGTTATGATTCTTTCCTGTCTTGTTGGACTGATGTATATGAGTCTTTTGTTTTCCTTTCTTTTTCTGTGTTGGGAGGGTGGAGGGGGAGGGAGAAGAGCATATGTGTTTAATTTTTTCCCCCCTGGTTTGGCTACATTCAGGAGGAGAAAGTGCAAAGAATGAAGAGCCATCCTGAAAAATCTCATTGAAAATTAGTGTCTATAGAAACGCCTTTGTAAGGATAGATAGCCAGCTTAGGAAAGA